CAAATTATTTAATACTTCATATTCAACTTTGCCATCTATATTCCATTCATATATTGAATCTCCATCATATTTAGTCGTTCTAAATTTTGATCTTTCTTCATATTGAATATCTGGAGGACTTGGTCTAGAATAATAATTTTTTGAACTTATCATTTTCCAATTATTTCTGTTGTTATTATAGTTTTTTCTTTTTATTCTATTCATTTGATTTCCTTCTGTTTCTTCAAATTGGTTTTCTATGGGTAAAATCATATCTTCTTTTTCTGTTTCTGATTCTTCTGATTTTTCAGATTCTTCTATTTCATCAGTTGAATTTTCTTCTATTATTTTATCTAATGTATTTATTTTTGGAGTTGAAGGTTTAGATTCTGTAGTTAAGTTTTGTAGAGCTTGAGATATTTTATTTAATAAATTATCTGTATTATTTATTTTTTGATTATTAATATTTTGTACTAATTCATGTTCTTTTTCTCTTGTTAGGCTTCTTGGCTTAAAATGAGGTGCTGAGATATCATTTGGGAATTTTAATTCTGTTTTCTTTATTGTATCTATCTTAGTATTTAATACTTCTATATGTTGAGATATTGTATGAAGGATTTGATTTGTATAATTATTTTGTTGGTACACTTTTTTAAGATCTTCTAGATTTATTGAATTATTTGTACTTGATTCAGCTTCTCTTCCTTTCTTAAAAGGTGAGACTATAATTTCTCCTTGTCCTATATTAATTTTTACTTCTTGTAATGGAGGGTGTATTGAAGTTACAACTTGTTCATCTTTTAATTTCCATTTTTTATATAAATTAGTTTGAACATTTATTTGAGGTGTGTTATAGACATTATTTATTCCTAATTTTAAAGTATAAAATGATAACCAATTAAAGAAAGGAAAATCAAACTTTTGTTTATCTAATTCTTTTTTCCATTCCAAAATTAATTTTTCTTTATATTCTGATTCCAATTGAAAAAACCAAATTCTTTTTTCTGTGTTTATTTCATCTTCAAAATCTTCTTGTAAGTATTTATGGTTTATTTTATAGGGTTTATTTATAACATTTATTTCTCCTTTCATTTGTGAATGAGTTGGGGAATATTCTGATTGATTTTGATTTATAACTTCAGGTATAGGTGTTTTATATTTAAAATTTGAGGTACTTTCTATAGGAAAATTAACTTCAGTTGACTCATAATTTGAACGTCTAGCGGGTAACCATGAATATGATGATTCTGGTCTTTCTCTTAATGATGAAAATCTTATTAAAGTACTTCCATCTGCTTTTTCTATAATATCTTCTGCAGTAATCTGTTCTATATTTCTTGCTAGTTGTGGATTTTTAATTTCAAATTCACTTGGTATTGTTATTTCATTCCACTTTAGTCTTTTTGGAGTATATGTAGTAGGTTTATCTGCATCTACTTGTAATAAAGTTGTTTCTTCTTTAAGAGTTGGAGTCATTATAAATTTAGGATTTAAATGTGAAGATAAAGGTCTGTAATATATTCTATATATTATTGCAACGACCCTTTCATTCAGCCATCTTATCCCAAAATCTTATCCGGAACGTGTTTTTTGTGTTCATGCAAGTGAATGTCTACTGAGATAATCCACAACGGATATCGGAAGAAGAAAGAAATGAAATATAAGTTTCGGTCCAATGAATTATTAATAATTTTGAATTAACACATAGTTTCAATTTAAAAAGTTATTGGACCAATCTAGTAGATTTGGAGGTATCAAAACAAATCTCGTTTGATCTCTGTGTGGGATTCTCTAAAATCTGCGTACGACTAAGTGGATAGTTATGACCAAATTTTGCAAGTACATAAAATTTCTAAGGGGAAGGATTGAATGAGATGTCCCACATTTAAAATCGGAAGAAGAACTAAATCAAATATAAGTTTGACCCCATCAAATTACTAATAAACTAGTTTTGTACCCGTTCGTTGAACGGGAATCGTCGAAAAAAAAATTTAGTTAATTTTATTAAAATGTCGATATAAAATACAAATTTAATGTATAATCTATTATAACTTGTCTTAAGTATATTACTATGTGCGCATTGTAATATAAAATATTTTTATAATATAAATTTGAACATCTAATTTAGTGAGTAATGACTCAAAAATGAAAAAAATAACATTCAACAATACCATAACATTCAAAAACTTGAAAATAAATAAAAAAGTGCAGTAAATAGTATTAAATAATATTCTATTCTTCAGGAACTTGTTTTGATTTTTCTTCTGTTTGAACATTCTCCTCGATTTGTTCGTGCAAATCAGCATTTATTGATTTTTCATTATCACTGCATGATAGGAAAACAGGATAACTAAGTATAAAAAAATAAATGATTTATCGCATTCAAAGTTATGTATAATAATACGTAAAAATTATAATTTAAGAAAGTAAAATAGTATATTAAATCTACCTTCTCATGCAAATCTTTTTATGAGGATTCCCTTCTTCTGTGATTTTTGTTGAACCCTCTGATGAATTATTCATATGAAGTGTATTGAAATGCTCTTGATTAGAATCATCTGGTGTACTAATTGGGATCTGGGAAGAAAATACTTCAGGTTGGTATTGGTTGTTGGTTCCACCAATCTGATAATGATTTATCAAAATTAAAGGCAAAATATTATGTGAGATATAATATGTGAAATATAAGATAAATTTATTGCACATTACCTGTGAAAGCATGAAATTTGTTTCCCTCTCGAAATCACAGTGGAACCATCTAGTCACTGTAAATCTATTACTACCTTGTTCCAAATTGTAATTGTTCAACTTGATTTGGAACACAAAAGGTTTCCATGTGATCTTATTTATAATTGATGACACGATTTCATTGCTAAATCCTTCCTAAAAATGAAATGCATAATAGATTTTTTTTTGTTATACTATTCAACGGCTAAGATAAGTGTCGGATTGTCTACTATTATTAAAAACTTCTCAAAAATTAGATATAAGTTTACCTTGTTAAATTCTTCAAGAACAAAAGAAAGTTTGTGTTCTATTATTCTTTCAGCCTCTTGATCAAATATAACAAACCAAGCACTACCGGTTGCATCACTTGCCAAGACTTTTAACATATACCTGTATAAAAACACATATTCTAAAAGTTATATTTATGTAGATATTGTAGCAATTAAAATGATAAAAAATGTTAACACCTACAACATACCTCAATTTAAGATACTCCACATTTTGATTGCAAGCATTGCACACAAAATTAGATCCTTCTAATGTCACTTTTCTCTGACATTTTGGATATGCTTTGTAGTGCAGTTGACTATTGAAATCAACTTTCAGAATTGTCACTTTGGAAGTGTAAACCAATTCCTAGAGAAATGACCAATTTAAGCAGTCAATTTAAATAATTAATATTTTTAATTGTGAAAACTAATGTGCTATAATTGTAACTTGTAACTTTAATTGTACCTCTGTTTGAACACCGGCCATTATCTGATATATCTCTGATAAAAATTTTCGATTCTTGAACATTAGTTGCTGTATAGCTTCTCGCGTTTTTGGAGGATGTAAAACCTCAATAGTTTGAGGAGCAGTGATATCAATGCTAATAACAATTTTATCTTAATTACTTATATACAATATATATGAAAATATTAAATAAACATTTAATAAAGATATATAGCTTTACCAATTCAAATAATCTGCAACTTCAGAAATATTTAGATTCATATATACTCGTGTGGCAGTTGTTGATGACAGATAGTATGAACTTGAGTAAGCATCAAATCTTGAGCTCCATTAAGAATGCTAATGAAAAGAAATAACAATATGTTTACTATGAGAGTTTCACTGATGTTTATATCATTACCTCTGAATTGTTTAACTGTCACTGAAGAGATCACCAACACTAATGGTTGATCAGACACCAAAATATTCTCATCATTGAACTGATTCGATGTTGTTCCCCATAATGTGACATTAATGCTTTCACCACTTCAATATAAAGCACTCAAAATTAATACTTGAATAGAAATTACTCAAAAATAATTGTTCAAATAAGAATATGAGCTAATCTTCATATTATAACTAATTTATTTAGCAGACTAAATTAAAAAAAAAAGCAGCAAATACCTTTTATTGCTAATTGCAATATCTCATTTTTTTACAGTTCCATTACTCTTCGAAACTTCATAGATCGGTCCCACTTTAGAAAGTCTTCCCACCACATCTATATTACACATAAATAAATAAGTATAACACATATAATTATTTAGGAATCACTACTTTCAAATGAATAAAACTAAAAGTAGTATTTATAAAAGTAGTATTTACCCTATTAACTTATTACGTCATACCTGATAAGAATGTAAAAACTTGACATCGTGAAGAGAGGTCATTGAAATCGATGAATTCAAATTTGTGAAATTTTATTGAACTCATTCGACCATCAAGCTTTTTCACCAGAGTTGTATAAGTGAAATAAATATTATGCTCATTGTGCACAACATTCCAAGATTGTTTTCTTGGTGTCACTCTAAATTTCTCCAAAATATAGACATCCCCCTCAAGTAGTTGTGGTCGAAACCTTTGTACCAAATTTTTTGGTACAATAGCCACCATATGATTATCCTAAAACAATTCAAACATCACAGATTACGAAAAAATTGTCATGAAATAAACAAATTTAACTCAAATCAGTCATAGGTGGATGAATGATGGTACTTACATTTTCATCGAGTAGTACCATTTCAAGAGCAAACACATCACCAGTATTTGTGTTAATGGCATCCCACATGCGCGTCACTCTAACCTTGATTTTCTTCGAATCAAATCCCACAGTCAACTGATTCAAGAGCTTGTGGCTTGAATTCATTGTAACGAACTTGTGTCTGCTACCAAAATTCACCAACTTATAAAATAATTGCATATAGGTATCTAAACTAAATACTTCAATATATGATTAATAAGCGCATAAATAAAAACAAACAAAATTGCATACGCATGAATTATAAATCAAGCTTTAGAATTTAACCTATACCAATGCGTAAATTATCATATATGTCTCGATAAACAATATTTCTTGTACGACGATTTTCCGGATTTCGATCATCCTTGATCAAAAACTTCAATCCTTGACGGGAGGTTACTCGAGAAGCAGCAACGTATAATTGGCCGTGACTAAATACAGGTTTTGTCAAGTACACTCCAACGTTATCAAAAGTTTGGCCTTGACTCTTATTTATTATCATAGCAAAACAAACCTTAATAGGAAACTGACGTCGAATCATCACAAAAGGCCATTTTGAATCCGTAGGAGTCATGTCAATCCTGTGAATGAAAAATCTTGTCCCTATACTTGACCCTGTAATCATTTCAGCTTCTATGATGTTATCTCCCAGATTTGTAATTATCAACCGTGTACCATTGCACAGACCCCGACTCTGATTCATATTGCGTAGCAGAATAATTGGAATTCCAACCTTTAACTCAATTGAATGATTTGGAATTCCAGAGAATTTAAGTGTATTCAAAAACTCAACCGGGTATAAAGAAGCTTGCTCAAGTCCGCAATCAGAGGTGGGACAGATTCTATCAGCACTTAAGTATATCCTAGATTGGCCAAGAATGGATGATAGAATAACAGAATTTACTTCATCAACAACATCATTGGTCGGGGCAAGAATAGCTCTATTGCGAAGATATGAAGCATTATTATAATTAGCCAATAGATCAGGATACGTACTATCAATGATGCGGTGTATGCAGTCAGTATCCTGAGGAATGAGTAGATTATTAGGAATCTCTATCCAAGTAGATTCGTCTTCATCATCAAAGGAAATAGCTGATAATTTTCCTTCACCCAAATCTAAAATCCATTTGCTGAATTCTTCTAAACTTTCAACAGAATCTGAATGCATGTCATTAGCTCGTATACGCATATTCAAAGATAATAGATATAAATGACAATGACCCCAAAGCAAAGAAGATCGATTAATTGATGAAGCAACAATTTCAGTTCTACCCCTTTTGGGTACGACAGGAAGAATTTGCCTGAAATCACCATCAAGTAACATAGTTTTGCCACCAAAAACTTTGTGCTCAGAGTCAGGATCATGAAAGCGTAAGATATCCCTGAATGTTCTGTCAACCGCTTCAAAAATATTTCGATGTAACATTATAGCTTCATCCCAAATAATCAATGATGCTTTACAAATTAACTCAGCCAATTGTGATCCCTGTGATATTGCGCAAGTAGAATCACCATCTATAATTATAGGAATTTTAAATCTCGAATGAGCTGTCCTTCCACCAGGCAACAATAGAGAAGCTATACCAGAAGATGCTACCACCAAAACTATTTTTCCTTGTGAACGTAATCGAGCAATTATAGTTCTCCACAAATAAGTCTTTCCTATTCCTCCACTACCATAAACAAAAAAGAGACCACCGAGACCATAATCAACAGCATGAATGACTGCATTATACACTTGTAGTTGTTGCTCATTCAACCCACTTTGTAGTTGAAAGTGTTCTTGTGCAAGAATTTCCCTATTATAATTCAATTCCTCAATAATAAACCGATTTCGATTATCATTATCCAATAGCATATCAGGAAATGGAATTCCAGGAAATTCTTTCAAACTTCTACTATTTCGATTGAGAATTTTTTCAACTTCATAAAGTGCATAATTCTTTATTTGGGAATCACTGAAAGATATAAAATTATCTCCAAGTATACAACGTTGTCGATAGGATATGTCATCAGAAAGAAACTCCCAATTTTTCTCCCATAAATCTAATGGATTAGATACCTCAGAAAATAATAACATGGTCACAAATAATTCACGTAATTGCTGACCTGTTTGCCAATTTGCTGCTTCTCTTATAGCATTATGCCATTCTTCATCACTACCCAATAATCTCAACGCTTGACATGCCGCTTTAAACGTTGGATGCACGACTCCGTTAACTGTCCTAATCTCCTCAAATGACCTTGGACCTTTGACAATGTTCAATAACATGCGTAAGTAGAATCTTTCTCCAGTTGAAGGATGAGCATAAAAAATTCTACCTATTGATCGACCAAACTTCCGTTTAACCCATTTTCTCAACTTCTTTTTCCATGTCCATTGTGTAGGAAAATCTGCATAAGTCAACTGTTGAGCAGATGTATCTGTGGAGTTCGTTTTCATCCATTCAATGAACATTGTACTATGTTCTTCTGCTCTATTTAATACTTCATCCAAAGGATCATTATCACCAAATAGCACAGGCTGTTCATTTGGAAGATGAAAATTTAATCTTTGAACGGCAATACTCCGATATTGGATGTCAAAATAAAAAATTCTCCAGCAAGCCTCTGATGCTGATATATATTGGCAATCTAGATATCTTTTTATCTCATCCACTTCACGAACAACTCGTGTTCCACTCTGTCCATCAGTTGCATCATTTTCCTCAATGACAAAAGTGGCTCTATCATATCCTTTATTCACATATTTGAATAAATATTTTATAGACCTGCCCTGATTGCACAATTCAACACAAACATGTCCCCAATATTTGACAACCAAATCAACAGTATGAGGAATGATCCATCGATTATCAATTTTCACACCAGCTTTAATACCTTCTCGTCCATTGTCCCTTCTCCTGTATACTGGAAAATCGTTTTCATCAATTATTGTTTCAGTCTGAAAATATTTGGGATAATGTTTACTGCACTTTCCATTTTCCATACACGGTGACCTTGTATTAGCTGGTCCACATGGTCCGTGTGACATAAATTGTAAAACTGCTTCATAAGCTATTGGATCAGTATTCTTATCTAGCAATTCGGCTGAAATGATTCGATCAACATCTCTTGGTGTAGTGCACTTATCATCTGGATGTAAGAATAACAGATTATGCGCATGGGGCAACCCTCTCTTTTGAAACTCAATTGTATATAATGCTGTACAAAGTATAAGTATATGAAATTAAATGAGAATTTGATATAAATTAAATATTTTTGAAAAAATAAATAAAATATTTTGTTAGTTTGATACCTGCCATCACCTTGCCAAAATGCTGTCCATGTGTTAAATCATTCATCAATTGATCTAATTTTATGTGAAAAACACGTGCAACGATATCAGGTCGATCCACAACTTTCTGATCAGGGATCAAACTTATACCCTTGCTGATTTCTGGCCAATTAGAATTGCATGTGAAAGTAATAAAAAGATCAGGAGGACCCATGAATCTGCATATTGCTATTGCATCTTGATAATTTTGAACCATATATCTTGGTCCACCGGTAAAAGTTGAAGGCAAAACCAACCTTTTTCCTGCTGATGCAGGTGTCGTATCACCTCGTACCACATTATCTTGCAAACCTTTGTATAATTCTGCTCTAATCTTTTGCTGATTGGCACAAATCCAATTCAAATTATTTTCCTCAATTGCAGCAAAAGCATCAACAATATACTGCTGAAATAAATTACCTGCACTGACCAATGTTTTCGCTTCATTGAGTCTATTTTGTATTCTGAAAGCATAGAATTACCGCATGCTGATAAACTTTCTTTTACCGTTACTCTTTCTTGGATTTGGAGACACATTTCTTGGTATGTTCACCCTAAAACCATCTTCACCATAAGGAAATATGATTGGATATTGCATCGCCATAAAACTTGGATGCAATTCAGTGATTCTTTTTAACCCCATAGTTTTTTCCTCAACAATAATATCTCGATTTCCCCTTGCCTGCTCTCCATCACCGACTATAAGTGCAGCTACTTCTGATGATGTTGGTAAGTTGTATTGTCTTCCATCTCGAGATCGAGTACCAATCAATCTCAAACGAACTGACATGTAATTGGATTCCTGAAACCTGTCCCTTGCCATTCGAAATGCCTTTGCAAGTGGATTATACTCGTCCAACATCTCTTTCAATCCATTGACAATTTCAGGATCCAAATCACAATTTCTGTTTACTGTACTAAATGGATGCATCCTATTCCTGACCTCATTTTGTGTGTCATGAACATAAAACTGTGCGAAAGTTCCAAGACGACCATCAGGAGGTATAAGAGACCCTATTTTATGATGATTTTGCCCATTGATTCGAAAAACGTACGGGCCACGTCCATCATTTATGGTGTTGTCAATACAACCACCCATCGATGTGAATGCATACATCATGTTAAAAGCTCTGATATTCTCTCGAAAATGTTTAGCTTGACGTCTTCCATTATATTCCAATAATTGCTTCAGAAATTGTGGTGGTTCGATAAGTAGAGGCAATTGAACTTGCCCTTCTTGACAACAGATTGAAAATCTTGGAGAAGCAACATGTTGAGATTTTATGGTTCTCTCTTCATACCATAAAATTGCTCCACAATAAGGACATGTATGCGAAGGAAATCCAAAATCCCAACGTTCAAAAAATGTACCTATGAATTATAAAAGATTACATTTGTCATCACGAAACCAAAAAACTAAATGACTCTTACATTTAAATCACAAAAACTTACGTTTAGGAATGTCTCTTCGTTCATAATTAGGTACATTATTGCATGAAGTATCCATTTCTGAATCTGCATGAATATATTCAAAAAATAGTGCTTGAATAGATAAAATCATAAAACTATAAGAAAAGTATTATTGTCGTAATTGTAAGAGAAATCACATACCTAATAAAGTGTCTGAATTAGCGAACTGATTCATATCTAATTCCTCTTGCAAAGATGATGAAGCATGTTGAACTCGTTCCCCACATAAAATATTGACAGGTTGTCGAAACCTGTGCAATAATAAATACCTGCTCAAACTAAAAGTAATTTCTGTAAATAGTGGTAAGCAGGGTCGAATCCACAGGGACTGGGAGTAATTGTTTCTTTTTAAATTCACAGTGACAAAGGGGGATGTTTTTATCTCAGGGGTGACAATTTAAATAAATTCAAATAAAATCTAAGAAACTACTAAAATTAAATAACAAATTACTAAAATCAAATGAGTGATAATTAAGGATCTAGCCAAGAAATGACTTCAGCAATGGTTCACCTAATTGATCATCGATAAGCAAATGCAATTCCAATTATTTATCAATAAATAGGTTATAACTACCAAACAATCGATGGCAGTCAACTCCTCCTTACTGTGTCAGTGATCAAGGTACGCCCGTTAATCACTGCTCTAATTGAGAAATAATCCTAGGTACGCCCATAGAATTTAATTCTCCAATTGCCTTACGTATTAGAGGAGCCATATTCTAACCAAATAACGCACTACCAGGGTTATTTTAGATTAGCCCACGTATTCCTCTGACACAAATCCAATCATGCCAGTTATCACTATTTTGAGACAATTAAACAATTACGGATTTAACGTCCCAATTGACAATAGATTATCAAATTAACCAATTATCCGGATCCAAGACAATCAATTAATTAAACAATCATAAGCACTGCAATCAAGGAATATGCGAATACCAATAAATAAAGGAAAAGATAAAATTAAATCGATCTCACAATTTTAGGTGACTCAAAGCATCCGTTGTCCCTTGGCTAGAGTGGGGAGATTAGTTCATAATTAATGAACAAAATTCACACAAAATCGAAACGGCAACTGCGGCCTTTGTCCTTGCTTGTGCGAATTCAATTTGGCCGAATGAATGAAAGAAAAATGAGAAACTACAGTGTACGATTCAATTCTTCAAAAGGCTCTGACATGTGAGGGAACAAACTACCAAGAGCCCCACTAATATATGAAGAAGAAAAGTCAAAGGAACTAAGCTAAGTAGTCCTACGTACCAAGAAGATACAATCTATTACTCAGGACTAAAAGAATGAAGAAAAGTCTAAAGCTCTCTCTGTGCTGTGCGGCGGCTCCCTCTCCGGAGAGGAAGAAGATTCGAGAGCCAAAAAGAAGACTTCGGCCTCCTCTTTTTAATGCTGTCTTCGGGCCAATTACCAAGAAGGGTTGTGGTTTGATATTCCAAAAATGTCCCTAGATGCCTGCTACTTGAACTCTTTCTTGATAATTGTCAAATTGGCCCTGATTGTGATATTTTTGTTCTACTCCCTGAAATAAATATAAATTACGAAAAGTGAGTAGAATCTAATAATTAATTCACATCAGGTCAGGTAATAGGAAAAATTAATAATAAAATAAATGACAAAATTGCACCCTATCAATTCCCCCCACGCCTAAACCATGCTTGTGCTCAAGCATGAGAATAACAAACAAACACCAATATTTGATAGTGGCTACTGCTCTATCTACAAAATTGCCAAGATACCAAAAAAAATAATAATCAAGCATCAATGGTCAAATCCAAGAAACATCACTCCGGTTAGCTTCTAAACCACAAACTTCTCTAATTTCAGGTTAACTAATCTAAGAAAAAGGAATAACGCATAACATTTATCAGCAAATGGTCCAACTATTAACCAAAATCTCAACATTAAATCTATAATTCGGCAAGCTGACTTTTATTACACATTAACACAACCTTCACTTTTTTCACATTTTTTTCCCTACTTTTTTTTTTTGATTCTTTTTTTTTTCAATAGTAACAAAAGACTTAGTCGCTAGCCATTAGAGCCTTTTGACGCGAACTCCAACATTGGCCAGATGAAGGAGCCTGGTTACTCAGCTTCTATCGCCACGTGACCACGTACTCATAGGAATTACTACCTTTTGACGCGAGAATCAACACTTTTAGGTGCAGATCCCCGGTTTCTCAGTAGTAACTAATAGCGGAGTACAGTCAAGTTTATTCATAGCTAAAAATCACAAAAACTCAATATAACACAAGAACCAAAAGAAAACTCGCATCAGCTAGCCTCATTTTCAAACATGAAGGACTAAAGTTAATAACCGGACCAATTCACATGAAAATGTCAATAATCATTCCCTATGCCTAGGAAAGTTAACCAAAAATTATAAGAGTAAAACAGTCATCGATATTCACCAAAGAGATGTTTTTGGATTCAACCACATTAACTTGATACCCTTTTATTAGTAAATCTTGGCAAAAGTAGAATTAGAGACAACAATCCAACATCAAACTTGGGTATTCATTAAAAAAAAAAAGTAAACGAAGACTAGACAAATGACAAACTAGAAATAAAAGAAGGACATCTGAAAACTAAAAACTGGCACAGCTATCCCTCCCCCCACACCTAGATCCTACATTGTCCTCAATGGAGGAAATAAAATAATTAAAGCGAAGAGGACAACGAAACTTCCCTCCCAAGTGGCTAAGGGTATTCGGCAGCTGCGGAGGGAAACCAACGTGGTGACGGTACGAGGCCAGGTTCTGAGACATCCTTGCCACTTGGCGGGTGATGTTTGTCATCCGCTCCTCTACGTTGTGAACCTGTGCTTGTAAGTGGCGCCACTCACCATTGTCGCCAATTATCACCCCAAATAACAAAAGACAGAATATCCAACAAAACCAACAAATGCAAATCCATAGTCACTGGTGTTCCCCAACTCAATAGTCGAATGCAAAAGCAAACACGGGCACCCAAGCTCAAATATGGTCAACAACGGCTCCCAAATTTACAGGTAAAAGTAGACAAAGGTCAACCAGAATCCCAACAAATGGTCCATATTTGACAATTAACCGCACAATGTTAACCAATCCAAAAGAAGCATCAAATTGAAGTGAAAACACTCCAACCAGTACCACTGGCGGAAAATGGAATGCACAACCCAATCAAACAGCCCCAAGAAAGAACAATGCAATCAATAATAACTCATAAATTCGACAGTAGTAGAGTAATTCCAAGTGCCCAGCTTCTAACAGTCAGCCAAAAGAGTAGAAGTGACCCAGTGGAGCCAAAATACCCAAACAGTGGATGAAACAAGTTCAACGGCTAACCCACACTAGTGAGATCCCCCAAATAATATAGCTCAATTCGGACAACAAGCAATGTATCCACAGGATTCCCAGTCAAATCTAATACTGAACCCCGCATTTCAACTAGATGCACTGAACTGGAATAAGCAATGTAAAGGGTATAGAAGCCTCCCAATTTAACAAACAAGTGCAATATTTCAGCTCACCCAAATTCTCAACAAATGGCTCCAGTTGGCCAGTTAAAGTTTTAACTCAAAATCAGCAATTTTAAATGAAGACAGCATAGATATTGGACAATAAGAACGCAGCCAACCAAACTAGGGTACCAAATTACGGTCCAGTTACTCCACCAGTACCACTGGTGTAGCGAATAATGAAAGATAAACCACACACAACCAAAACCAAGTCACCGGTAAACCAAAATAATACTAACACTGCCATAGTTGAAGACTGAGTGATAAATACCTCCACTGGTCAATAGGCGAAGCAAGTGGAGCTAGTGGTGGTTAACAAAAGGGGCAACAGCTCTCTTGCTGGTAGAAGCTACGGTGGTGGAGGCGCGAGGAGGAGTGGCTGGCGGCGAGGTTGGGTACAACTCGAGGTTGGCGTGCGGTGGAGAGGAGCTGGGCAGAGGTGGCGGCAGTAGCTCACGGTGGAGCTGTGGGCAGAGCAAAGGAGGTGCGTCCAGAGCAAGGGAGGTGCGTCCAGAGCAGCGGCGTGGGGCAGTGGGGCGGCGCGCGGCGAAGAGGGAGGAGGTGCGGCATTTGGTGTCGTGAACAGCAGCGGTCGAAGGTGGAGCCTCGGGCGGCGGAGCTTAGATGAGCTGGGCCTGCGCGAAGTGGCGTGCGGGCCCTGTCCGTGGCCTGCGTCGCGTGGCGGAACTGGGAGCGCGGACGGCGAAGGGGGATGGCGGCACCGTGGGTAGCAGCAGCGAGGGGAAGCTGCTGCGTGCGCTTCGGCCGAGCGGTGCTCGGTGGCGTGCGTAGAGTAAAAGAAAAGGGAAACAGGGGAGAAGAAAGAAAGAAAAAGAAAGAAAAAAAAAAAAGAAAAAAAGAAAAGCTTTTTTTTTTTTTTGTTCTTTTGCTTTTTTGTTTTTTTTTTCATTTGAGATTTTTTTTTTTGTTTGTTTTCAGGGAAAGACTCCCCTTTTTCTTTTTCTTTTTTTTTTCCTTGTTACTTACTTGAAATTTTTTTTTATTTTTTAATATCTGACACTAAAGCTACGTTGATAAGAAAGAGTTTTTGTGTGATTTTTTTTTGAATCCTTACCTTTCCCGCGAACGTGACGCGGGCACGTCAAGAGAGCAAGAGAGCTCCCAGAAGTTTCTGATCGTGAGCTTCCTGCACATCACCACGCGGGCGCGTCATGAGGGCAAGAGAGCTCCCAGAAGTTTCTGATCGTGAGCTTCATGCACATCACCACGCGGGTGCGTCATGACTGAAGGTCACCTACAAATCAGCAAAAACGAAAATTAACACCCAAAATCAATCAAACTCAAGGAAAACATATTTAAACTATCACACGAAATCAAACAAATAATTAAAAGAAACAATTGGGTTGCCTCCCAATTAGCGCCTCTCTTTAATGTCTCTGACTAGACATTATCATGTTTTGTTCATGGAGGATAAAATCGTGTGGCTCGTCTTAATGTTTCATCCTCTATATAGTCCTGATAACCCTCGTAAATAGAATAATCCTTGAGCATACGAGTTACGGGCTTCCATGGACTAGTGAATGGCGCCAAATGAGTCGATGATAATTTGAATTCTCCATTCATTCCTCCCTCACTTGCATTTATTGGTTCAAGATATCTCGCCATCGCCACTCTTAATTTATTCCTGTCATGAAATTCAAAACTGTCTGGTATAATAAAGTCAATTTCATTAACAGAAATTGAAGAGTAAGAGTCAGGAGAATAGTGATGAAGGAGTGG